CTCTGAAGATGCCGGCCACAGAGACTGGCGAAACGTTAGGAAGAACAACCTTCAGAACACGGCCAAAGAGCCCGAAAAACCCACAATAACCATGATCTGTATTTCTTTCTCTCTCTCTTTCCCATATATCTATAGAGCTGGTATAGTAGAGTTGGTTGGAATGCTTTGCTGTGGAGCCAGGGTAGACTGTTTAAACCCCACTGTGCATTGTAAGAGAAAGGCCAGATGAGATTACCCAAAGCATGAGTGGCTGATGGGGTTACATGCGCTGCTAACTAGTGTGGCCTTGGGCAACTGCACAGTCCTAGACTGCCACCAGAAGGAGGGGCTGATTAACCACTTCTGAGTAACTTATATTTAGAAAACTCTGGGTTGAACTGAGGGCAGATAATTCTTGTTGTTATATATTATCAGTATGTTACAGCACTATTGGTGGTGGTGGTGAACAGAGTTTTCTAGCTCATTTTGTTCCCTTATGTTCTTCTCTTTGTAACGGAGGTAGTTTATACTCTTTTGTGTTTTCCTTGCTTCCAATTTAGGCATTGATCTGGAGAATATTGTCTACTACAAAGATGACACCCACTATTTTGTCATGACCGCCAAAAAGCAGAGCTTACTGGATAAAGGAGTAATATTACATGTGAGTGTGGCATCTGCTGAACGAAGGTCTTAGATTCATTTTAAAAAAGGGCAAGAACTTGTAGTATCAGCTGACTAGTTGTGTGGGCCTTGGTTTCTGTATTTATTGAGAGATGAGTTGTAAGGTCAAGAAGAATGTGTTCTAATTCTCTGTGTCATGTAATACTTCTGATATTTGTTGGGAGAGGAAGTGTAAGGTCAAGAGCAATGCATCCCAATTCATTTAATACTTCTTTCAGCATTCAGTTTTGATCACTGGGATCCTGAATTCATTGTTTTGGTGGTGCTACAATTATTTATGTATCTCTTTTTGCTTCAATAATTGGTTTCCCCCAGAAACAAGTACACAGTGGCGCACACAGCTGTCTCCTTAAAATAATCCTGTCAGGTTCAGTGAAAGTATGAGAGGACCAATGTCATCCAGTGAGTTTCATGGCTCATAAGTGCTAGTTCTACACCAACAGTAATACCACACTGGCAGGTGTGGTCATTTCTGTATTTGCCCATTGGTATCGACATCCTTATTCATCAGGGACGGGTAGTTCAGGAGGTCTGTGTGCTTTGAAGCCTGGACTCATAGTATTTGGACTCTGGCAGCCCTGAAGAAATTAAGTTAGAGTATAATGAACGTTTTTTTTTGCTTCTGCGGGGAGAGTTTTCTCTTCTGTGGAAAGCCATATATGCAAGCTGAATGGCTGGTGATTTATGGCAACAGTAAAGAGAACGAGGTGAGAAACAAAGGCGAGTGGACAACTGCCCCCATACACAGTTTTCCTCCATAAAACTTTACATCTCCACTAGGAAAGAAGTGTCATCTGGTTTGGATTTCATGCCGCCTGATGTGTTTGTGGTTTACTTTTTCAGGCGGTGGTTTTTAGCTGCCCTGTTTTCATGATGAGGAAGGATGGAAGAATATTTCAAAATATTTAGATAAATAAATGTGCTTATGAGGCTGTCCTAGTTCTATCATTATATTGCTGTAATGCAGACTGTTAGGCTGACTTGTTCTTGGCTTTGACGTTAGTGTTTTGGGATTGTGTTCAACTCAGACAGAGTTTACTGTTTAATACAGTATTACGTTGAAGCAAAGAGAGATCTGCAACAGCCAGATCATGAAACTAGAAGATTTTGGAAAATTAAATCGTCGAGACGTTGTTGCTCTAAACAGGAGCTAGTTGCACCTGTATCTAAAACTCCCATAAGAGTGACACAGGAACATGGAAAACTGCCTTAAATAGGATCAGGCCTTTGACCTGTCTCGATTTTTGTTGTCTACACCGGCTGTGTATGCTTTCAGATAGGTTTATTTTGTGGCCCTATGTGGAGGTTCCAGCCCTCTACCACTAAGATGTGGTCCCTTTCTAATACCTTTGAAAGAGAAGTACAGCTGTTTTGAAAAGAAGTACAGCTTAGGTCTTAGTGGCAGTAGATGGTGTATGCATCATGTCTGTTTCACCACTATGTCACTGAAGAGTCTCGGTGAATGGGCCCTGCTGCATTGTAGGTTGAATAATTTCCCGTGAAACAAAAAAAAAAGATATATAAAGTGCAGCTGCAGGGGAATTTTTTTTCTTTTCTGCCACATGTATATCCCCATCACTGTGTTAGTTAAGTTTTATTATACGGTCATGAGACCAAAAATTCAAAGATAAAAAACATAATATGAGATATAAGGAGTAAGTCAGAGTAAATCACCGTGTTGCTCGGACAGTTTTCTAAGTAATATGAATAAGAGGTACTGTTGAAGTCATAGGAAGTGTTCTGACCCATAGTGGGAAATGTTATTTTATTTCATTCATTCATTCATTTGAATTATATCCCGCTATCTAGACTTGCGACCACTCTAGGCAGTTAGCATGGAAGATAATCAGTTGGACTGAATGCCTGATTTTACCTTGCATATCAATATTGTATGCTGCAGAAGTGCATTCCCACCAGATCTTGGAAGAGTTGGTTTTCTGGACTGAAACTCTATGACTATGATAAGGGGAATTCTAGGTATGCTACTGTGAAAAAATAATTATACCAAGTTCTGATCTACATTCACCTGGACAATTCTTATCCAAACTCTCTTATGCCCTATTTCTGCTGTGGAGCTTATAATAGCTTAGAAATGGCTCCTAAATGTTTTCCCATCTAGACTGCTTCTGAGGCCTGCTTAACTTCATCAATTGGGCATGCCTTGTGTATTTCAGATGATTTCACAGGGTCGTAAATGATCTTGTTTTCTTACCTGACAGGACTACACAGACACGGAACTACTGCTTTCTCGGGAGAATGTAGATCAGGAGGCTCTGCTCAACTATGCCAGGGAAGCAGCTGATTTTTCAACTAATCAGCAGCTGCCATCGCTGGACTTCGCCATTAACCACTATGGGCAACCTGATGTGGCCATGTTTGACTTCACATGCATGTATGCCTCAGAGAATGCGGCCATGGTTCGGGAAGTGAACGGCCACCAGTTGCTCGTGGCATTGGTGGGAGATAGTTTGCTAGAGGTTTGTCCTTTTCATGACTTACACTTTTAACTCTTCCATGTTTTTATGCCTTTACAATTATATTCCACTGTGAGGCTGCAGAGTAGTGACTATGATTTGGTATTATTATTATTGAAGTCTTCAGTCATACATGTGGCATTTCATGCCAAGTGAACATTACAATGCATTTTTCTGCATGTGGGGCTGGTAGTTGAATACTGTTGCAGCTCTTATATTTGCGGATTATCATCGTCTAGCAAGGCATCACTATTGCATGTGTATTGAAGACGTGGCTTTTAGGAATGTAGATCTTGAGGGTGGATGGTCGTTCCATCAGTGGTTTGGGTGACTCCCTTTCTTTTTGGGGGTTGACCCTCACCGCAAAGAGCGAAGTTCGCAGCTTGGGGATACATCTGGACCCAGCGCTTACCATGGAAACCCAGGTAGCGTCCGTGGTCCGTTCCGCCTATTTTCACCTATGGCGGATTGCCCAGCTGTGACCACATCTTGATGGAGGGGGCCCTCACTACTCTTGTCCATGCTCTCGTAATCTTGAGATTAGACCATTGTAACACACTCTACGTGGGGCTGCCTTTGGGATTGATGTGGAAACTTCAAATGGTGCAAAATGCAGCAGCCAGTGGGGTGAGGAAATGTATTAGCATATCTTCCCCACCCTGGCTGCTTTGCATTGGTTGCCCATATGTTTCTGCATTGATTTCAAAGTATTAATGATGACGTATAAAGCCCTAAATGGTTTGGGACTCGATAACTGGCAGATCGCCTTCTCCCACCCAGGTCTACCCAAATCACTCAACAAAGCCAGCAGGGACAGCTGAGGGCCCTTATGCCGAGAGAGGTCCAGAAGGAAAGAACAAGAAACCTGGCCTTCTCGGCAGTGGCCTCTCAGCTGTGGAACACTCTCCCAACGGAAATCCGCCTGTTTCCCTTGCTGGGTGTTTTTAAAAGTCATTTAAAAACTTGGGTCTTTAGGCAGGCCTTCCCTCCAGTCAATTAATTGATCTTTGTTTCTCAATTTTCCCGTCTTGATAATGTATGTATGCATCAGTTAGTGGGTTTTTATCATTATGTATGTTATGTTATTTTATTGTATTTTATCACTTATGTAAGCTGCCCCGTGTAGACTTTGTTTAGAGGAGTGGGGTATAAGTCCAAATAAAGTAAAAAAAAAGTAAAGTATCTGAAAAACAATGCCAGATTACAAAGAAGCTTTCTTTCTTTCTTTTACTTCCTTCAACAGGAGAATGAAAAGATGCTTCCTTTTATAGAGCCTGTATTGGGCATAAAACAACTGTTAGTAGTCTGTAGCTGATTTTAATTAAACATTTTGCTTCAGGAAGCTATTCTAGAAGCTTAGGGAATAGGTGAACATGGAAATCTCCGTACCGTTGCATTAGATGCTGGTCTTTTGGGGGCACAGTCTTTCAATATATCAATTTCTTCTGTATTCCCATAAAGGTTATTCCTTTCTTTTCTTCTCCCCCCCCCCTTCCATTGATCCCTTCTATGGTTGCTTCCAGCCATTCTGGCCAATGGGAACTGGAATAGCCAGGGGCTTTCTTGCTGCCATGGACTCTGCTTGGATGGTACGAAGCTGGTCGTTGGGAGCGAGCCCTTTGGAGGTTCTTGCAGAAAGGTAATGAAATGGCTTTGTGTATGTCTTTTGACTCCAGATTATAAGGAGGTGTGGAAATTTTGCCCAGTAGCTCCTGTTGTTTATTTACTAATTTTGTACAATTTCACCAAGGTTTTATGTGTGCAGAAAGATCAGCCTACTAAAAATATTCTAATAATAATTTAGAGGCTTTTCATCCCATTCTACAAGGAACACAGAGTGGCTTAAGGGGATTAAATAAAATACAAGGTACGGCCTTTATCGTGTGTTAGGCCAAGATTGGAGAAACTGATCATTCAAATGTTGTTGAATCTCGGACTCCTCTTTGAAGAGATCTGGAGAATCACAGTTGCCTATTCCCTGCTTAGACAAATCAAAATATAGCTGGCTGCTATTACCTTACTCCTTAATAGGAGATATGTTTTTGCTTTTTGTTGAAAGTAAAAAGTTAATTTTCTGCTTCTGGGCCTAGCCAGCTAGCTCGTAAGGGATTGCTTGAAGCCTAAATAACGTTAGTTAAATGCAAGAATGCCTTCAAATATATAAGATTCGGGTGGGGGGAGAAAATTATTAAGAAAAAATAAACATAGCCGTGTTGGTCCACAAACAAACTCAGATCTGTAGTTAAACCAATACATTTACTGTAATTAATTGCTGTGCCATAAAAGTTATATGATGGCAATGCAGCATGCATGTTTTATAACTTCAGCAATTAAACTATGATCAGCAATTGCCATAGACTGTGAAGAAGTAGAACATGAGATATGAGCTGCAGTCACTAATGATGGAATGAGTCACCAGGCTTATAAAAGGAGAGAGGTAACATTTTGATGTGGGGTTCTTTTCTGTTTAGACTCTGTTAATGAACATCAGCTGTTTTAGCTCCTTCTTTCTATGGAGGTTAGAGGTGACCCATATTGCCTTCTTGACCTTCAGTCCCTATTAACTCCTTGCACTTCCTTCTAATTTGGCTAAATGAACAGGACAGAAATCTTTAACCGTGCTGCTAATGTTTCCCTTCATATGCAGTGACCATATCCTTGAGTGTATTTTGATACACTTGGGAGTCTGTCTCGGACCACTTGAGCAGATGTCAGACTGGCTTATAAGAAAATGAATCTTAGATATGGGAATACTGTATATGTATTGCAGGTAGGAGGGAATGTATGTTGACAGGAGTTACATATCAGACTGGCTCTGCCAAATCTTTTATATAATGAAAACTGGAAGATCTCTGTTTACGAAATACAAGGAATTTCAATGCCTCTTTTTCCCCCTAGAGAGAGTATCTACAGGTTGCTGCCGCAGACCACCCCAGAGAATGTGAGCAAAAATTTCAGCCAGTATAGCATCGATCCCGCCACGCGGTATCCAAATATCAGTGTCAACTTCCTGCGACCAAGTCAGGTAATTACTTCAATCCTGAGCTTTTCTGGAATACTTCATTTAATACGAATCCTTAAAGTGTCTTCATCTCTGGTTATCTATTTTCTCTATCTTAGAACAGATTTGGGACAGATTGCTGCAAATGTAGAGGTGTCGTGGTTTTGGATGGATAGACATTGCAAAAATAGAATGAGTCAAGTTAGAAATCGGAAATATGGGGTGGTAGTGTGTAGAACTCTGGCTAGGCAGAGTTGAGTTTGCATGTGAACAACTGCACAGTTATATGGTATTGATGAAAAGCTAGTAGCTCAGAAGCTATGAACAAAGTATGCCAAACAAATCAGAGAGAGGTGGGTTGAATGACACCATGTGCAAATGAAGTAAAATAGATAATTATGCGAAGAAGGAAAGACAAAAGTGTTGTACCTACAGCTGTTGGTGTTCCAGATCACTTGAGATTAAAAACTAACGTATGTTGATGCAGCACATAAGTTAAATTGGCTTCTCCTAATTCTTGCACCAAGTTTTCATAATTTTGCAATGTATGTACAGTATAATTAAATTATTTTAGATATGTATGTACTACTTTTTCTACATTCAGAACAGAATAAAATGTAAAACTATTGTTAAATAATATCAGGATGCCACAATAAAACAATGTAATCTGCTAACCACAAGCACAGGACAGAATCAACCCAAACCTTATCACAAAAGAGAAGTGCTGAATTCCAGCAAGGGTGTTAAATAATGCTTGAGTATATTATAAATAATAGAGTGTGCTATATTTGTATCCTTCCATTTTGTCCAATGATTTTTAGTTGATGAGAGCAGACATCAAATTGGGATGGAAATTAATTTCTGAGTATGGTGTAAAAAAATTTTCTTAGGATTTAAGCTCCCTGAAATACTGTCTACTTCCCATCTTGGTATTTTTGGTGGCTAGCAGATTATTGCAGAGTTTGCAGTTCTGCATCTCTTTTAGTAAATGGATGCTAAAGGCTAAATTCAGTTATTAGTCCCAATTAGACCAGACCCATTGAATAAATGAGACTTGTTAAGTCAGCACTTACGTAAGTTGAATTGATTCAATGGGTCTACTCCAGTTGGGACTACTAATTGGTTTTAGCCGTAGGTCTCTCTGCTGACCAAAGTATTTGACTTTAGAGAGAGAAAATGTAGTAAGCAGTTGGACAACAGAGCATAAAATGCCTGTGGTGCAGACCTTGACATTCTAAGCAGAACATGGTGTCGATTCTGAACAGGAGTAATTAGCAATATCACAGTCATCCTATCTGCTGCTATGATGCAGTTTGAGTACCATATGCAAATACAGTAATATCCCGGTTAGGATATATTCCTAGAATATGGAGTGTTAACTGAAACAGTGGTAAATGGAGTCACATTATACTTGATTGGATAGTTGCCCCACGCACTAGGTGCCTTTGCTGCCTTTACTGCATAGGAGTAATTAGCAATATCACAGTCATCCTATCTGCTGCTATGATGCAGTTTGAGTACCATATGCAAATACAGTAATATCCCGGTTAGGATATATTCCTAGAATATGGAGTGTTAACTGAAACAGTGGTAAATGGAGTCACATTATACTTGATTGGATAGTTGCCCCACGCACTAGGTGCCTTTGCTGCCTTTACTGCATGAGGAGGTGATGAGTAAGGAGAGGCTGTGGGAGAACTCTACTTACTTACCATTTGCTTGCCTGCCTGCTTCCACATGCATAGTTAACTGAAACAGTGGTAAATGGAGTCACTATAACATTATACTTGATTGCATAGTTGCCCATGCACTTGGTGCCTTTGCTGCCTTTACTGCACGAGGAGGTGATGAGTAAGGAGAGGCTGTGGGAGAACTCTACTGACTTACCATTTGCTTGCCTGCCTGCTTCCACATGCATATATGTGTATCTGTATACCATGTGTGTTTCTGTCTGGGAAAATATGTGCGAATATGAGCTGAGGGAGAAGGAAGAAAAAGAGAGAGAGAGAGAGAAAAGAAGTGGAAAGCAGGGGCAGTTTGCCCCAGCAAAAAAAATGAGTGACTGATTGACTCTTGAGAAGATGGTGAAAAGCGTGTTATAATGAAACCGTGCTAAGTAGGGTAGCGTTAAGCAAGATATTACTGTACCTAACATGGTTTGCCCACACTTGAGTCCTTAAACAAATGGTTACCTTTTATATTCTTACTTGAACCTTGGTGTGATATGTCTATCCTTTTTGATCTACTACAGGTACGCCATTGATACAGGAGAAACCGTACTAAGTAGGGTAGCGTTAAGCAAGATATTACTGTACCTAACATGGTTTGCCCACACTTGAGTCATTAAACAAGTGGTTACCTTTTATATTCTTACTTGATGTGATATGTCTATCCTTTTTGATCTACTACAGGTACGCCATTTGTATGATACAGGAGACTTGAAAGATATTCACCTAGAAATAGAAAATATGGTGAATTCGAGGACACCAAAGTTGTCACGAAATGGTAAATTATAGTTCCATCGTGTTTATTGAACACTCTTTTCTTTTTTTCTTCTTCTTCTTCTATCCCTTTCCCCACTGGTGAGGTTTTCTAGGGGTGCCTGGTATATTTGAGCAATACTGCCTAGAAATAGAAAATATGGTGAATTCGAGGACACCAAAGTTGTCACGAAATGGTAAATTATAGTTCCATCGTGTTTATTGAACACTCTTTTCTATTTTTTTCTTCTTCTTCTATCCCTTTCCCCACTGGTGAGGTTTTCTAGGGGTGCTTGGCATATTTGAGCAATACTACATGAATATTTTTGAAAGCTGTGTAGAGGCCAAAACTTGATCCATTTGGTCTTTTACAAACACACCAAAGGCTTCATTTGGACTGTGGGGAGGAAGATGATATTAGATTTTTGTATTATGGTGCGAAAAATACGGTATTTTGAAAGCTGTGTAGAGGCCAAAACCTGATCCATTTGGTCTTTTACAAACACACCAAAGGCTTCATTTGGACTGTGGGGAGGAAGGTGATGATATTAGATTTTTGTAGTATGAGGAAGCTATTTCCTGATGGTTGGTAGTGATAAACAGTAGTAAGAATTGTGTGGGCTGCATGTGGTCCAAATACAGCCCTGATTGGCCAATAAAAGTTTATTTTTCTCTCTTTTTGAGCCCAAATAGACTTTTTTTTAAAAAATGGCAGTGACAAGAAAGCTACCACAGCCCTCTAAAGTTTTGGATTGGATTTGTGAAAATAGAGCAGATATGGTCCCCACACCTCTAGGCAGCTGCCCCTTTCTAAATTGGATCAACAGCTGTGTATTCACAATATCACAATACTTATTTGTTTCAGAATCGGTGGCTCGATCTAGCAAACTCCTGGGCTGGTGTCAGAGGCAGACGGACGGATATGCTGGTGTGAATGTAACAGATCTTACAATGTCTTGGAAGAGTGGCTTAGCGCTGTGCGCCATTATCCATCGATATCGCCCTGATCTAATGTAAGTCATTGAAGATGAAACTAGGGAGTGTCATCCTATATTAGATTATTCAGTTTGTTGCGAGAGGGGCAAAATGAGGAAAGGTGTGATTATAGTATTGTTAGTCGAGGATAGGAAATAGAGGCCACAGCTTCTCCAAGGATTCATGGGTGAAATCAACATACCCCTGTCATCATTTTTAGGCAAGATCTTTTATTCATTCCAGAGACTTTGACTCTCTAGATGAACACAATGTAGAAAAGAATAATCAGCTGGCATTTGACATTGCCGAGAAAGAGTTTGGAATCTCTCCAATCATGACTGGCAAAGAAATGGCGTCGGTTGGGGAACCAGATAAGCTGTCCATGGTCATGTATCTCACCCAGTTCTATGAGATGTTCAAGGACTCATTGCCTTCCAACGGTAAGGAGACTGTAAAATGGCCTGCTAGAAACTGTAAGGATTGTAGTGGTCATTTTATTGATTTTATTTTATTTATTCTATTTATATCCCGCCTATCTGGTCAATTACGACCACTCTAGGAGGCTTTTAAATGAAGCTTAAATCAACTTTCACCTGTCCATATTGAGATTGTTCTTCTCCTGAAATCAGTGTAGCAAATGTTAGCGCCGGTGACAAGAGTGGGATAACTTTGCCACAGTCCCATGAATGTGTCACTGACCCATGGCTTTTATTACAACAATAACTTTGTCATATGGCTGAGCTATGTAACGCTGTTCTGACTACAGTAGTTCCTTCCAAAGTTTGACATCAAAACAGGACAATAATGGCTCATAATATGATAAATGAGCAATGTTGCAGTTCAAATGATTAAGTCTTTCTCTTCAAGGGACTCTGTGGGCCAGCCTGATCAGATGAAGGGAAGATGGTTTTTGTGTTAGCAAAAATGTGGCTCGAGTAACTACTCTAGCTCCTACTTGGGTGTTTAATAGGAGAAGTGATGGAAGTTCTTGTAAATGAAATTTTTTGAAAGCTACATCCATCCCCATTATAAAGGAAATGGACCGCAGATGGAAGACATTTGATGTTTAAAAGCAAATGCTGGGACAGTTGGTTGCTGAATATTTTCCCAGCACTCTCTCGCATCTTCACTGCTTACTTCCATTGATTGGCTTAATAGGAAGTGCAGCTAAAATGGCCTGATTGATCTTGCACAGTTGGAGTGAAAATCTTCTCCTGAAGTGGAAAAGAGATTAACTGGAGGATTAAATTTAACACTTAGCAGCAGAAAGTTTAAGCAAATGGAAATGGGCATGAGAAGAGAGGAAGGACAAAATACTGCTCAGAACTGGACTCGGGAGGAGACTCTTTGTAAAGTGCCAATATTGCAAAGTCTCTAATGATTTTTTTTTCTGCCCACAGATAATCTGGAATTAAATGCAGAAGAAAAAGCTGCATTAATTGCTAGTACAAAATCTCCAATCTCTTTCTTCAGCAAATTGGGACAGAGCATCTCCCGGAAACGGACACCAAAGGTAGGCAGAACTGATCTGGTACATCGCTTTTCCGGAGTGTGTATCCATAAATCGTCGTAGTCTGGTGATGGCAGTGGAAAGACAGAGACAGGTTCCTGTGCATGTATCACTTGGTGAAGTAGTTTGCATTTACAAAAGAGTGAGAATATTCAATATTAGCATTTGAAACTATGTCCACAGTTTCTGCTGCTGTGTTCCATTTGTCTGGCTTTTCAGCCGTGTAGATTGGTTGAAACGGGACCTCATTAAAGCTTCTTAGTCCTCCACATAATTACCATATCTGTGTTAATTTTGTTTACATAACTTATTTTATATGTTAATCTTATATGTTAATCTGTGGGAAAAATTCCTGAAAGGTAGTTGTGTGAAAGATGTGCTTCAAATACACAGTTTGAAGTATGCATAGAGCAAAAAAACACAAACAAAACCCTGAGTATTTAAATACCCGCTTAACTGTAGTGACGAAAAGCAATTAATCAACATGTGTGATAGCAAATTGTGCCCCCCATGTGATATTGAACTGCAACTCCCATTGGCTATGCTGGCTCGAGCTGGTGGGAGTAGCAGTCTAGCAATAACTAGAGGGTCGCGAGTTGCCTGTGCTTGTGCTATAGACCGAGATGAATTTTGGGGGAATAGCAGGTGTGTATTGCAGAGGGTTAATCCCAGTCCCTATGCAGGCTTGGTTCACAAGTGAAAGGATGAGATGCAGGAATATTGGGTTGTTCTTTGTGATTGTGATACATAGACTGAACAGAAAGCTTATGGCTACACATGTGCACTCCACAGTAAAGATACATACAGTGGTGGCCCGCATAGTGACGTTAATCCGTTCCAGGATTAACGTCGCTATCCGGAAACATCGCTATGCAGGGGGGAAAACCCCATAGGAATGCATTAAACTCCATTTAATGCGTTCCTATGGGGACAAAACTCACCGTTGAGCGAAGATCCTCCATAGCGCCGCCATTTTTGCTGCCTCGGTAAGCGAGGGCAGCATGCGAAAATGCTGTGGGCGGCCATTTTGTGCACCCGGTGGCCATTTTGGAACTGCTGATCAGCTGTTTTCTAAACATCGCAATGCGAAGAACGGTAAGCGAAACGCTTATCGATCATCGCAATGTGATGTTTAGCCTATCTAAACATTGCAATGTGATCGTAAAAACGATCGCAAAAAACAAATTGCTATGCGGATTCATCGTTAAACGGTGCGCTCGTTCTGCGAGGCACCACTGTATTATGCTTTGGATGGAATATCAGAATTGGATAGTAGTTTTAATCAAAATTCAGCATGTTGCAGATTTTTTTTTCTCCATAAGATGAGAAATTGGAGGCTCAAGGTTTTTGTCTTTCTTTCTGTGCTTAGGATAAAAAGGAGAAGGATTTGGATGGGGCAGGAAAGAGAAGGAAAACAAGCCAGTCAGAAGATGTAAGTAATACTTTTTTCAACTGTGTGGTCGCAACCCCCCCATCACATGTTGACTATTCCACTATCTTTCCAATGGCCTCTCCATGTAATTTATGCAGGGTAATCTAGGAACATCTGTTGTCAGAATGGGCAAAGTCTGTCTGGTGTCTTGCACTAAATAATGAGAATTCTTAGTTAAGCTTCTTAAGTTTTAGTTTTCTATTACAAAAGTTAAAGATCGAAAACATATCCACTAGAAGGAGTGCTGGAAGACTACAGTGAGAGAAACAAAAGCAGAGTGCAGACAGCGTACAAGTTTCGCTTCTAAAGAACAGTGTCTTCTCTTCGCAAAGCTATCCTTTCCTTTGATTTCACCTGGACTTTGCAGAACAGTCCTCCTTATTTGCATAATTGATTATTCTTAAAATGGTGTCAATAGTTTGGGAATCTTGTCAAGTAAGATCAGAAATTTGACGGACAGAAGCTGGACACAGGGCCTTAAGTATGTAGTATGTTGGTTAGTTGAAGTCTGTAGCAGAAGAGAAATCCCACATCCTGAAGTCTTGCTCAAGATTCCTTTCTAAGCCTCTGGAAAAACCAGTCTGACAACCACAGTGACTTCAGATGCCTAAACTGGCCAGGTTTAATTTCAGCAAAGAATTGATAGGAAGGTAAATGTGTTCTTAAGAGGTACTGCCACTTAAGAGCACGTGTGGTAGTTCAGAGATGAGAATAGATGCTTCCTTATAGCAAAAATAAGCTGTAGAAAAAGTCGCTATGTGAATGCAATTGGAAACCAAGAAGAAGAATTTTTGCTTACTCTTCTCTTTGGCAGATCAGCTTTCTGAAGTGCAAGCAATTGTTTTGTAGGTCAGATACAGTATTACATTTTTAAATACTGGAGAGATGGATTTCTGCTCTTCCATATGTTTTACTTAGCAGGAATAGGAGCAGTGGACAGATCGTGTGGGCTGACAGATTGCCACTTACTTTCATTAAACATACAGAGTTCTTGTAGAATCTCAGGCTTTTCCATCATGTACAACTTGATCTTTCCAGCTGGATGATGGAATGTATTTATTAATAATTAATAATAAAAATAAATTATTTATTGTTTTTATATACAGTATATTATTGTGGAAATTGAGATCTGCTGCATGCAGAGCATATTCTCTGCCCCTGAACTGTGATCTCTTCCATCTTGTTTGTTTACAGCTTTTCACTGCTAAAATTAATGCTGAATGGAATTTGCAGGTAGATGGGCGTAATTAGTGAGTAAGGCAAAGCAGCAGAAAGGAAGTCGCATTTTAAATATCAGAGCTGTGCAAAATCAGAATTGAATCCTAAAGAAAGCATATCGTGAAAGAATCTGTTATATCAATTTTCTAGGAGGACACTTCTCGAAGTTACCGAGAGGAGAGGCCTACTCTGGTGAGTGCACTGACAGAGAGAAGAATTGATGCCACCATTGGGAATCAGAACAAAGTGAAGTCCATGGCAACACAGCTGCTAGCCAAATTTGAAGAGAATGCCCCTGTGCAGTCCACAGGCTTCAGGAGACAGGTATTAAAAAATTCTTTCACTGTTGGAGACAAAAAATTGCTTATACATATTAGGCGCAGCCAGAATTCAAATGGCAAAAAAACAGCAAATAAGATTCTGACTTGGAATGTGCAGGGACTGAACTCTACAAAAAAAATGAAAATAAGTGTTCCATTTCTTGGGAACAAAAAGAAACGAGAATATCTGCTTACAAGAAACCCATATTAGAAAATAGGATGCAAAATATCTAAAGAATGTGAAAAAAGGGAAATGCTATACTTCAGCCATCTCAAAAGAAGCAAGGGGTAGCTGTCTATATGTCAGAACACTGTCTATCAAAAGAAATATTAAATGATGAGGAAGGAAGATATATAGAAATTCAAATACAAGGAAAAACAGTAAATGTAATTTCAGTATATGAACCAATAGAAGGAAAAGCAAATTTCTTTCGAAAATTAACACAAAAATTACTAGAATTAGAAAAAGATGAATTGAATATAGCAGGGGATATGAATGGAGTAATAAACCCTAAAGCTGATCAGAAATCAGAAAATAAAATAAAAGAGAATCCGGGGAAACTACCAAAAAGTTTTTTTGACATGTTGGATGTTTTCACACTAGAGGATATTTGGAGAATAAAACGTGCAGATACCAGAGAATACACTTTTTTTTCAGGTAGACGTAAATCATTATCAAGAATTGATCTGATTCTAACAAATAAACCATTCCTTAATTGGACCCAAGAAGTAAAAAATCCTACCAAAGCCACGTGTAGATCATAATCCTATAAGATTGGTTATGAAAAAGGAAAGGAAAGAGTACTCATGGAGACTGAATGAAAACTTACTAAAAGAGGAAAAAATTTTAGAATGGTTGAGGATCGAACTGAAGGAATACTTTAAATAAAATATGAACAAGGAGACAAAAATAACAGTTTGGGAGGCAGGAAAATCAGTCCTACGTGGATTGATAATGAAAGAAACTGAGAAGTAATTAAAAAGAGAAAACAAATGCAAGAAAAACTTTTAAAAAAATAGTTATTTGGATTATGTGCTAATATTGTGATAATTATTTACTTATTTTTATAATTTCTGATTTAAATGCAATAAAGACTAAAAGTTTTTTTAAAATATTGGAAGCATTGTGGGCCTTGGCCAGTGATGTAAGAAGCAGTATGGCTGGGGATGGCTTGTAATAACTTGGAGGTATTTTGATTTTGACCAGGAAAATAATAAGGTTCTGATGAAGTCTTAAATGCCTCTTATAAGTTAAGCATGTAGAGCCGTGGTGCTCTAGTAAAGGTAAAGGTTCCCTTTGACATTTAGTCCAGTTGTGTCCAACTCTAGGAGGTGGTGCTTATCCCCGTTTCCAAGCTGTAGAGCCAGCGTTTGTCCGTAGACAGTTTCCGTGATCACGTAGCTAGCACTACTAGACACCGAACGCCATTACCTTCCCACCATGGTGGTACCTATTCATCTACTTGCATTTGCATGCTTTCAAACTGGGCAGGAATTGGGACAAGCGATGGGAGCTCACTCCGTCACGTGGATTCGATCTTAGGAGTGCTGGTCTTCTGACCTTGCAGCACAGAGGCTTCTGCGGTTTAACCCGCAGTGCCACCACGTCCCTCTAGTGGTGCTCAACCTTAAGCCTTCACCACTAGCTGTGCTGGCCAGGTTTTTAACAAATGGGGCTTCAGTGCTGTAGATCTGAGGTTGGCCCCCATTCATAGAAACACGTTCATTCGCCCATAAGCCTTGTCACATCCTCCATCCTGAAGGATTGCAATTATATGAGTCATGTGTACTTTAAACAAGTCATTTGTAAAGTAATCCATGCTGTAGTGCCATTTAGCTAACCCTTGGTCAACTTCCCTTGCTGAGTTTAGGAAAGAAGATTTTTCATTGTTTTTCCTCTGGATCAATCCATATGTAATCAGCTTTTTGTCCAGGGGGCGAGGTACGTGTGCAGTAGAAGCTACTGGAAACTGAGTTGTCATTATTTGGGTATCTGGGTAATTTTGCTTGCTTCTGCACAGTGGAGATATATTTGTGTTCATCAACACATACACAAAACTTTTTATCATAGCCTTTAAGCAGAATGACAGACATAAGTGAAACTGAAATCAGAGCGTAGAAGACTTACTTTTTTGGATTGCATTCCTCAGAATCCTAATGGTGATGGCGGCCTAGGGATTTTGGTGCTGCGGTACAAAGCAGCATCTTTTGCAAAGCATGGCCTAGATAGCAATGTCATTATGGCAAGAATAGATGGACTTAAGTCAGTGTTGCTGAGACAAGCAGCTCATGCCAAGGACTTGATATCTCCAAACAGGTTAAATGAGTGTGGGAGTGAAACAAAAGCCGAGGAGCTATCAGGCAGAGTACGCATAGCCTTTTAATGTGGGTGCTGCCTCTTTATCCCTCTCCAATTTAATCCATCTTAAGTGCTACCGGATGAAGAATGCAAAGCAAATAAAAGCCCAATGGAACAAATTGTTCCTGAAGTCAGTAAAATGCAAGATTCTAGTTCTGTATCCATCCCATTTTTAGAACTAATGAAATTCTTTCCTCTTGTGATTGTTCTGGAGATAATTCTAGGAATGCTATTCCTTCAAGTAGCTGAAACCTCGTTTCTGTTTCAATCCAAACTTATTAAAATAAGCAGTTGAAACAATAGGTAATAGATGGCCTTCTTTCATGGCTGTCTACATTTTCATCTTTTTTTGGCTCATTATTTTTTTCTATTTTTGCACAATTTTATATTTTATTTGTCAACTAATTTTTCCTTACTCCATTTCCCCCCTCCTCCTGAATGTTTGTCTGCCGACCACCCTGCCCAACATCTATCCCCCCCATCCACTTGTGGGTCTCTTTGTGAGTTTTTGTTTCACCGTTTATGTTAATGCCCATTGTGGCCTCCGTCCTGCTTACCTTATGGCCTGCATGCAACAGTCTACCCTGCCTTATCAAGACCGTGCTCTCAGCCATCCAGCCTACCGTCAGCGAGAGCAGGGGCGCCTTGTCCCAGTACCTCAGTGGAAACAGGTAAAATGAATCTGAGTGAATGACTGTGATGTGCACCCCCACCTAAATTACCATCCTTTTGGCTTCTGCTTTTTTCATATTAAAACATCTACAGCTTTCCTGTGTAGAAGCACATGACAGAGAGCTTTCATTTTATGAAACAGGTGTGGCTTGTATTAAAGGGTTTATAGTATCTTTTATTCCCCCCCTGCCTTTGGTGATAAGTGAACATTTGAACATAAATTGTTGATAAAGTTGAACTTAGACATCTTATTAACAGTGCCTTGACCAGCCATGGGATTACTCTTCTGTGAAAATAATTCTGTGTTATGTATTAGAATAGCTTTCCTAGAATATCTTTTCTTAGATTTTCTTCTTTGTGTTGACAAGTATATGAATGCCCAAAGTGATAAAAGAGGAAAAGAATAGTAAATCACACTCCTTAAATATTATTTCTGCACTTCTGTATGCTTAACACAAAAGTGGAAATGGGGATAAAATGTACAAAGATTACCATCCTGATATGTAGCTGATCATGTGAACTTGGCCTTAGCAAATTCACATTCCTGACAGCTTTGATATGCTTTGACAAGCATATAGTCGTTAGTGTCATTCCACCCATCCAGTTCCATAACACATTCAACAAGGTAAAGTTAGTTTCAGTGGCACCTATTGGACTAGAAGGCATGTACTTTCATCCCATTCTATCCAAAGTGGGAAATAGTCGGTGAGGTTTATCTGGGCTGCTCTGATACTTTTGAATGTAGCAATGCAAATCTATCTCAGGTGCCTCAGGTATTTGGAATCATGTGCTGGGTGTAGTATCCAGAACCATGGAATCAATTTTCAGGAAAATAGGTTTTTCAAAAGACATATATATCATGGATTTCTTTCTGGCTCATAGTTAAAATAATAGATTTGTACAGCAACAGAATTATGAATGTTTAGGCCAGCATATTGAATGGAAGTATGTATTTCCAATTAAAGGCGTACAATATTGTAACTGTAGGACTGATTCACATAACCACTGGACATGAGATTCATTTTTGTTTTATTATTTTGTTGTTCATGATGTTTTGTTTTGTTTTGTCCAGCCTAAATTCTAGTGTGTCAGTGAGGAATACAATCAACTGAAAATAGTACTGGATATGAACCCCATCTGCCAAAGCAGAAATGTTTCAGTGTCTTATCTTACTCTCCATTCTATTGTCCTTTGTGAAGAGAGTGGTGCTAAGGAAAATTTGCTGACTTGATTGGTTACGATCACCAGAATAAATTCGTGGGATAGGATGGGCCATCTGGAAAGATTCCAGATTTTTCAGTGGGACAGTAATAGAGAGATAGTCCCAGGGATAACACAGAAAGGATTATAGTCTGTAAAAAACAACACCACCAGAATATTATCCTACTAAACTTTTGTTTGAGAATCTCATCCATCCTTTCACACAGAACTCTCCTGTGTCTTTGGCCAGTAGGTTCCAGCATGTGGAAACATAGCATCCTCTAATTCCTTTACTTGAGGAAAAACATCGGCAGGTGAGGTTGAAGAATAGAAGTGGAAAAATCTTTTGTTCTTAGGACTGCCAACCAGAGACAATACACTATTCATTCTTTACATGCTATCAATTAAGTAAGAATTCTTCGTGATAGATTTGCTTGTCACTTGTACTGATTTGCTTATGTGTTGCAGTAGACTATGTGGCAAGATATGCTTTTGCTCTCTGCCTGGCCTTTGAGCTGCCCCAGATTTCTACATCTAATGAACTGGGCCCTTATTTCATGTCTCAATATATAGCAGATTGCCATTTTAACCCGTGAAGTGGGTTGACCATTGTTTTTGCTTTTAGAAGCAAAACCAACTCTGTTTTCTATATCTGTTCACTGTGATTTTCTTGGTACTACAGCAGAATTGTGCAGAAGGAAAAAAGATTCTTTAAGTAAGGAAATCCTTTTTTTAAATGAAAGAACCCACTGTAGGAGTTCATTCTACATTTTTCCTTCTTCTTCAGTATGCAGGCCAGAAGGGCCACCATTTTATGCAAGTGTCCTCTTCAGGATAATCCCTCCTATAGAAAATGTCCATAATTACTCTATACAGTTTTATGTTCTCACAGGGATGGCAGTAAAACATCTGTATGACTTCTTTGCATGCTTGTGCAAAATAATTGGCTCTTGTTATATTTACTTTGATGACCTCTGGCTTTTCCCCTTTTGATGAAAATTAGGATTACTAATAAGATCAGAGTCTTCTCTCCTGCTGTGCCACAATTGGGGGAGATGGAAATCCTAGCTACAGGAATGTGACTTCTGTGTAGTTCCAGGCAACTAACAAGATCATTCTTCATTTGCATACTAATAGCATTTACATCTCTCTGTGTCTGCATGTGTATGAAAGAGAAGGGTGGGTGGAGGGAGGCTTGTGCAACCAGAAGCTGAATGCTTAAAGTTTGGGGTGGGCTGGGTCAAAGGCAGTGTTGTCTATATGATTAAGAGCATATTAATCTGGACTTCTGTTTGGTCAGATATCATAAGACACTGGAACACATAATAACCAATCCTCTCTTTGAGTTGACATGACCAGAAACATCTGTCAGAATGGAAGAGAAGTACACTGGCCGTCCTGGTTTCTCTCAAATGGACTGTCCTTTCAGTTTAAACTCTTGATGAAGGCATATATTACTGCTGTATTTTTGTGAACTCAGAAATGGATCCTACGTGGTTATGGAAAAGAGGGTTAGATTATACATGCGCCTGAGCTCACTTAATACTCACAATGTCCACAATTGCTGCTGTTTTTAGAAGGCTGTAAGAAAAGCCTGTGACTTGCTTAATTTTACTGGCAGTTACCAGATACGACTTGCGGGTTTCATTAAACACTCTCACTGCTTAATTTTGAGTACTGATGAGAGGGAAATTCCCCTCCCATTTGCCCTATGGATCCTTCCAAACATGCAGAGATATGTTAGATAACTCCAAAAAAACATACATACCTCTGTTCTTTCCTAGCACTTAGAATTGCCTGGAGTTACAGATGCTATAGGTTAATCTTTAATAAGGAAAATTATTTTGGATTTATTTGGCAGAAAAATCCAAACAAGAATTTGGTAGGAAATGGAAACTTAGGAGACAAGATTTCAGTGTAAGCAGCACAGAGAGGAAAATTAAGAGCATGTATTATGGCTTGTCTTGCGGTAGAAACTATTAATTGTGCTACCACAAGACGCAGTGGCTAACAAGTTGGATTACTTTAAAGGAGTATTAGACTGATTCATGGAGGATAAAACATTTAATGGTTATGATTTACAGTGGCTTCAGAATACTTCCCGGATCAAAGGAAATGTACTTGTGAATATCATTGGCTAGAAATGAGAATGGGAAAGGGCCCTATATATTTTGGACTACAGCTCTCATACTCCATGGTGGCTAATATTTTTGAGAACTGAAGTTCTGGGGTGGACAGTTTACATACCTGGTGTAAATTTGTATCTATGTTGTCTTGCTGCGGCTAATACTAGCGTCAATGACCGTAATTCTTTAATACTGGAGTCAGTGACCGTAATTCTTGTCACCTTGTTATCATATTGTTGTTTTTTCCCTTGTTTTCGAATAAAGATGAGGAAAAAGGAGCGTTCTCGGACCTGTCCCAAAAAAGTGATCATGCTCTCTTCTTCCTCCATTTGTACTACCTCTCCATCGTACCCCAGCCATCAGGTGATTTCATTTTGCATGCTCTGTCCTTCTCTCCCTCGCTCTTGCGTCCGTAAAACCTTCTCTGTTTTGAGTTTCCTCCATAAGCTGAATAGAGGCATCAGGCATCTTGATTCCACCATCTCCAGAAAAGCACTAGCAAACGGGACCAGATTTTTCTCTATCATCCTGTTTTCTCTAGAATAGTGTTCTTAGAACTGCTTTTACACCATTATTTCTTCTGAGTGTCATATGTTGTTATACCAAAACAAAAACTTGCAGTCTGAATAAATGCTACTGTTGGTTAATACCTAACTGTTACAGTAGATATCAGAACTGGAGTAACTGCTATTAATATCTAGATACAAAATAAACTATTTTTACTTCCTTCTTCCTTGTTGGTTTTCTGTGGTGTAGCAGGAGAGGTGTACTACAGTGTTTGTGTGCCATTTCATGTACCATATAATTTCCTCACAAAATTATTGATATTTGCCTCCTCATACTTAAGAGTTGCCATCAGTGGGTCTTTTACCTGTTAGGGACATTGTTTTTCCCTCAGGTATCTCCACTGGTGAAATACACATTCTTATGTCTGTATTTTGTCAGGGTCAGAGTCATAAATAGGGCCTTACTCCTGTTGCTGTCGTTTTGTGCCAGAAGGCTATGATTGCACGAGGCCACACAAAACAGGTTTTTACATTATTCCTCCGATCTTGGAACTACTGCAGTCTTGCTCCTTCTAACCTCTCCAGGTTAGTTTGACAAAGTTTCTGTGAATTAAGAAGTCATGGAGGTAAACCTAAAATTGCTTGAGAAGTAGGCCCTTAGATGGTGCTTCTTAAATGTGTTCTTAGAGGAGGCCAGAATGCTGCCTCATTACCAGGTAATAAACAATTGCTGCTGGTTCTAGCATGCTGCAATGTTTCTTTGCTCTTCTTCCTACTGTGCTATGCTACATTTTCCCTTCCTCTGTTTCCATCAACTGACCTCTCTACCACTAACCATCATGGAAGTCACCTAGAATACCTGGATCCTGTCAGATTATTTGGCTTTGTGATCTTCAGGATTTCTAGCTTTGGGTGTCATAATTCCCAACTATTGTTCTTGAAACTTTCCTCTCATATAACTTCTTGTTGAGTAACATGTTTATTTGAATCAGCAAACACGTGAGAATATTACCATAATAGTGATCTGGAGTACAGTATTCTTATTAAACTTACTCATTTTGGTATCTTTCACTGTAAAGCAAAAATTGATCCTTTTCTTCATAACTGGAAAAACTGATGAACACATCAAAATCTGTATTTGTTTCATCAGAAGAGATATTCCGAGTTGGAGATATCTTGTTGTAAAATGTACTTTTTTTCAAAACCCACTACTTCATCTATTTTGAATATTGGTACATTGACTAGTCAAGTCAAAACATAGGAACATATCATGCTGTTCCTGGAAACAAATAAATAGTCACAGGTAGCTATATTATTTAACAATTTGTAAAGTAATAAGATTATCTTCATGATGATAGCACAGCTGTTTTGGACTTCTTCTATGAAATACAAGGATGTCTCTTGAGTTCCTTGCAAGTAGATTTTGGTAAAACCATACCTATGTGCATGTGATAGATCAGTGGTTCTTAACCTTTGTTACTCAGATGCTTTTGAACTGCAACTCCCAGAAACCCCAGTCAGCACAGCTGGTGGTGAAGGCTTCTGGGAGTTGCAGTCCAAAAGCATCTGAGTAACCCAAGATTAAGAATCAGTGTGATAGATAACCAAAGCTGCCTCCAACTTAACTATTTTCCTGAGTCCCTCATAACATTGTGAAACATTATAGCCCAGCTTATGTTAGGATGCAACCATGGATTCAGCTAGTGTAGAAGTCTTGTATTTTGTTTGTAAGGGAAGTTCATTGTTTTCAAAATACCTTCTATGTGAAAAAAACAAATCTGTTGATTTCAGTACAACAGACTTGTCTTGCTAGGACTGAAATTAACTGTCTCATTGCTTATAAAACAGAGATCTTCCAAGCTATATTTGAATGTATTAATGCTCACCATTTCTTCGAAACTGTCCTTCCTTCTGAATCTCTTGTATAACTGTGTGAATATGTGTCGTTTCGTCACGATCTACTAATACAGCTTGTACAAAATGTTTAATTTAGATAGCTGTTCCTGGAATAGCATAAACGTATTCTCCACAATATCCAGATGACCTTTGCAAAACTCAAATATGTTCGAGAAACATTTCTCTTATAGATTCTTAAATGAATTTTGTGTATACATTTGTTAAGATAATTATTTTGCCTGCAGACAATCAGGAATCTTCAGGCAGACCATGCTGGAGAACAGAGTCTCAATCAGCAAAGGGTAAAATAGCATGAGCTAAACAGCATGAGAGGGGTGTGTGCAATCCTTGGGAAATGTTATGCAACCTGGGAGGAATAGAAGAGAATGGGGTTATAGTTATTCACATGTGGGTAGTACTAACATTCTGGTGTGGTGCTGTGGAGCAAGTTTCTAAAAATAATGATTCTGTATGTGTGTGCTTTGCCATTCACAGAGAAGTACAAGCTTTTGCACATTCTGGATGCCACACAGTGTGATTTTTCAGTTTGGGATAGATCATCACTATGATTTGGGGACACCCCCCCTTGAGATGAAATAGCAAAACAGAAAGTGATATTCTCTGCTGAGGTGGCGGGTGGGTGGGGATAAAATCTTCCATTTGCTATTGTTTCTCTTCTTGCCTTTTTTGGATTCTCTACACTTGCCTTCACAACTAATGTTACGTTGGGTCTCCAAACAACCATGTTTAAAAGCTGAATTGCAAGAATGCAATGAAGGAGAACGTTAATCCATTTCAATTCCTATCACCGGCATTACAGCTGCCCGGCTGTCCATTTCTCACTCTTTCTCTACCCTTTAATGCAGCTGCTTTGCATTTGATCTAACCTACAGTATCATGATTCTTTGGAGGCATGAAAGCACAGTGGTTATTGGCTGTAAGAAACATAATCCCCAGACTTCTGATGTCCAGAACTTGGGAGAGTCGTGCTTTTGGAGTCTACCAGCTTCTAGACACTCCATGCCGCTCCACCCCTTGACATTCTGGTTAGGAGATTCTAGAAACGGTTTTAAAAAGGTATCTTTGCCATAGTCACAATTCTGTGCATGCTTACCTAGAAACATATCCTCTGAAATAATGTGGATTTTTATGGTAAATGTTTCTGGGGTTGGAATGTCATTTGTGGATTATGGAATATGGGAACCCCCTGTGGTTCAAGAAATAACATTTATCCAAAACATTTCTTTAACTCTTGTTTTCTTCCCCATTTTACTGCTTTAAAGACGAGGCACAGAATATCTAGTACTACACAGACTTTATCAGCCTTGCTTCTGTTCATTCTGCTATGTTTTTTCCCCCATGAACACTCTTTTCCAGTTTCTCCTCTTTATTTCCTTCTTCGTTGTCCTGCAGAGATTTCAGCAGTTTTCTTCAGATGACCGTGTGCCAGAGCGCACGCTTACAATTGAGCAGAGGGCAAGCCAGCTGGCGGCCCTCCTGGAGCAAAGGCCAGCAACCAGGCATCAGGTGACTGCCTTCGTGTCTGTCTGGCGCTTTGTGTCTGCATGCAGTTCTGTAGAATGGGAATTGAAAAACTGCTTGAGCCTTAACCTGGCTGGCATCTGATGTTGCGTGTTAATGGCTAATTACTACACTGTCACATTGTAAGAGGAACATCTTTAGCCACTCTGATCATACAAAAAAACCCTCCACACAGACATACACACTGAAGCTCACATTATTCTTCTTTTCTTGTTACAACAAGATACTGTACTAACAAATGTTCCTACTTGAATTGGTACTTTGTGTATTGTTGAATCGATGCTTGTACTGCTACTAAACGGAGTGTGGCTGACATAGAAAGGAAGCTACTAAACTTAAAGGGAGTAGAATTTCTACTTCCTGGATCAGGATAGAGCATGCTGAAGACTTCAGCCAGATTCAAGAAGCATTTCTTTGCCAATCTGGAGAGGAATGGTGTCTGTAGTATGTATTACGCTTTGGCATCGGGGATCTATAAAGCAGCTTGTTGGAGAGTAGCCCAAAACAAAAGAGAGCAGGAATTAACCTAATCCAAACAGTTTATAAAGCCAAACCAGTGTATAGTTTAGGCAGCTATTCTTTTTTAAAAAAAGAAATTTCTTTTTTCTGTACATGCTCTACTTTATTAATCCTGCATCTCAGTGCCAAGAATTGAGTTTTGTATCATCAAATGAGAATCAAAATACTTCCTAACCTTGCTTGAGTGAGTATAATGTCTATCAAATTCTTTACCTTCAGATACCATATTTTATTCATTGGGTCAAATAATATTAATATTCATAGAGGTGACTCTTGCATATGAACATAAGCGATCCAACCAAGTGTCTTCTTGCTAGCCTTCCAGTTTTATCATGCAATAATTTTAGAAATTACCATTTTTAAGCTTTTTTAATTTTTATTTTATTTTTTGGCTTTTCCAGTTTGTATTGTTTTATGGTTGGAATATTTTTAGCCACTTTTCCTTACTCCTCATGAGACAGTTGAGAAGTTTTTTCTAAAATGTTAAAGATAAGTGACCAGAGTCCTTTGCAGCTGAAAAGACTCTCGACTTTAAAACGTCTGATTTGCTGAACTTTGGGTAGTGAGTTCAGAAAAAGAAGAGCAGGTATAGGTCCTCATCTGCAGGGAAGAAAACCTCTGCCTTTCTTTTTTCAAAGGCTCTTGTAAATGCAGTTTTCTGACTTTCTCACCTTTATTTTGTAGCCAGAGACCGAGCGATCTCGTCGACCTGTTGTTGAACAGTGGGAGCTCTCCCGTAGCCTCCGCTCTTCCAGCCGCCCTTCTTCTCCCTCGTCTGACTCCCTCAGACAGGTAGCATGGTGTGGGGCTTGAAGCTGCACTCAGCTGCCTACCTTGGCCTACGCCATCTCCTGCCACTTGAGAATGTGCCATTGGAGGCTGGGCTCATTGGCTGTTTCTGCCTTGATGTGGCTGAGCTTCAGCCTAGGTGCTGAGAAATGAAAAAGCTTAGGCTGCCATTGAATCCTAATTATTTCAAGCATCCTTAAAGTCAGATAAGATACACATCCTGCATAATTCAAAGTTACTGGCTGGGTTTGTTAGGAAGAATGAACCCTCCCAAACATTTCACAAACCAGCACACCTCTCACATAGTTTAATGTTGCTTATCTAGAAATGGTCAACTCGATGCCTCCAGACTGGAAATTAAGTTTTGGTTTCATCATCAAGAATACCTGGTGGACTTCTGCACTTTCCCCCCTTTCTTCTGCTATCTAGTAAGGATCATTTGCTTTTTCACTATAGATTTTCATCCCTCAGCCAAGAATAAAGCTTCTGCATTGTCAACTACAAGGTATTAGTTTACATAAACTAGTAAATTTATGTAGTAAAGGGGAAGAATGTGTGAGCCCATGCACTTCTACTGGCCACCAAACTGCAGCGATGGCTAAACTGGATCATTATATACAGCAGTCCTGATTTACTTAATTGCATAATATGACTTTCATCAGATGTGTCTAGCACTGAATTTTCAACAATCGTAGAACAATCTGTGCAGGGAATGAATGCTTGTTCGCTTTTCTATTTTGTGAATGTGATGGACACCTCTTGCTTTAAGTGTTGCTACACTAAAATTATAGAGAAGTCATACTTGGTTTCATCATAGGCATCCTTCAGTCTCAAGAGACTATGGTAACATGCTCTGAATCGAGGAGTGTCCTCTCCAGAGCATGAAGCCTGGGTAAAGTAATATGGAGGATAGCCTGTTACCAAGCAGCAGATCCCCCGTCTCCACATTGCTGAAATGGTCCAATGGAAAGGCAAGAGCCAATATAACTGGTTCCAGCAACGTTACAGGAATTGGCAGAACAAAACGAACTGCCTTCGGGACTCCAGCTCTGGATTTTGCCTCTAGGTTAACTCCTGAAGCCTTTTCCATGAGTGGATATAGCCACAAGGCAGTGGAGGTTTGAAATCGGAGTTTCCTTCTAGATGGGCTGCCTTCCATGGCTGACGAGCCCCACCTACCCGGCCTGCTATTTAATACTGTGGAAGTATGATCCAACCCTTAGAACTTTCCTGCCTCCCAGGTGTATGCAAATCTAATTGGCTTTCCTATTTACCATATTAGAACCAGAGATAGAATCAGAGAATTTGAGAATTCCTGGTCCTGGGACACGCTCATTTAAAGCAGAAAGCCCCACCCCCTAGGCCCCACCCCCAGACCATGTGGTGGGAAGACAAAAGGAAAGTCCAGGAAAAAAAATCAGCAAAATGTCCATGCAAATATACCTGGCCTTCAGCCTCAGCCCAGCTTCCTATGGAAAAGGGCTCAGGGTCCTGGGACACGCTCATTTAAAGCAGAAAGCCCCACCCCCTAGGCCCCACCCCCAGGCCATGTGGTGGGGGAGACACTACTTGGTTTAGTGAGCAGTATAGTGAGTAGCAGCTTATTCAGACTCCGGACTACATGAAGAATTCAGTATACTGAACATAAAATATGTGGATGCCAGTTGTCGTTTACTAACTCGTCTTTTTAAGTGATGGATAGGGGATGTTTACACCTCCAGATGCTTTGAAATTCAGCTCCTGGAATCTCTAGCTAGCATGCACATAGAATAATAAGAACATAATACACCAGACATAGTAGTTAAATCTCTGGATCATAGACATTGCAGTTCCAGTGGATGCCAGAGTTGAAGATAAAGTATTGGAAAAACTAACAAAGTACAGAGACCTGGCAATCGAAACATCTCGCTTGTGGATGAAACATACTGGGTAGTCATCGGGGCTTTTCACACAGTATTATAAGCAGTTGCAGATCTCAGAAATAAGACCATCAGAGAAACAAAAAACGGTAGTATTAGGAACAGCATACATACTACACTGATATTTAACAGATAGTTAGGTTTTTGGTTAAAACCTGTGTCTGTTGTATACCAGTCAGTGTTTTTATAATCTTGATTGACTGCCTGTTTTTGAAGAATAACAACAATAATTTATACTTCCCACTGAAAAGTAGTGCTCAAGGTACCTTGCAAACTTTTACAAGAATAAAATATTTTTTTAAAAAAACTGGTCTAAAATATCTGGGGAAACAAGTTCACAAACCTTCTTTTGAACCATCTAAACTTTATTAGGATTTGTTTTTAATTTTGGTAAGTGTGAGTATACAGTGATAACGGTTGTCTGTCTGTCTGCCTGTCTGTCTGCCTGCCTGCCTGCTGCCACCCCATTGGTGTTGTACTTTAGGCATGGTTCACAGCATACAATAAAAACCATACAATACTGTGTAATAAATGCAATAAAAATACAAAAAGTACAATAAGCTCCATTGCTGGTTAAAACAACAAACCCACTTTTAAATAGAAATACTCCACTTAAAACCCATTTTTGCATTCCAGATCAATGTTCACCACTATGAGAGCCACCCCATTGGTGTTGTACTTTAGGCATGGTTCACAGCATACAATAAAAACCATACAATACTGTGTAATAAATGCAATAAAAATACAAAAAGTACAATAAGCTCCATTGCTGGTTAAAACAACAAACCCACTTTTAAATAGAAATACTCCACTTAAAACCCATTTTTGCATTCCAGATCAATGTTCACCACTATGAGAAGCAAGGATGCTGGCAAATGTTCAGGTCCGAGTCCAAATCTTTGGGTCTGAGTCCCAAAGACTTGGGCTGGGCATGGACTGCCTACCTGATAGGCCAGCACACGTGGAGACAGTGGATCTGGAAGGGAAGCCTGGTGGGCATATGCACAGAGACAGTAGGCCAGCTTCCCTTCCTGATGCTGGCCACTACTGTACCTTTGCACATGCGCTGGCCTATCAGCTGGGTGGTGGGCGTCTGGGCAAAGACATCAGCCGGCTTCTGGAAGGGAAGCTGGGCCTCCTGCCTCTGATGATGGTGGTGGTATGGCAGTGGCAGAAGCAGGTAGGGAGGCCCATCCCTAATAGAGACTCGACAACATGGCTCAGAAAAATAATTCCAAGTCACAAGCTGAGTCTCAGTCAAAAAAAGACCTACGTAAGTCAGACTCGACAGTGACTCACAACTCACAGGTTCCCATCCCTGACTAGGAAGCAGCTTTATATCATTCTGTCTTAATTAGTTTCCTGAAAACAAAGAGGGATGACACCGGGTGAACTTTGTGTATTCCACAGAGAAGGGGCCATGATCAAGAAAACCGAGTTCCTAATGTTGGCTTATTTGGCCTCCTTGTGTATTGCAATTCTAAATATCAAGGACTGTGAGGAGTGGGTGGGACTATTTTGTGAGAAAGACATTCTTCCAGATATCAAGGTCGTAAATCGATTTAGTGTTTGGAAAAGCTACGAAAACTTCTTTGCAAGCTAGAACTCAAATACTGTACCAGACTTCTTAGTTTAGTGCAGTAGTTCCAGAAGTCTTAGACATGACAACCTCTTTTTAATTTTTGAGGAAATGTCATGCCTCTCCTTTACCATCATTCCATCATTTGGAAGGAATGAAAAGGGATGGAGGAAATGGGAGAACCAGGCTGGAAACATAAGATCCTCTGGATGATGTTGGACTGTCATTCCTAGCCAGCATAGCCAGGGCTAGTGTGTGATAGACTCGATATGAAAGGGAGTCTGTACATTCCCTGTTCCTTTAGTATAAGTTTAGAGAATGATGTGTAGGGTATTGGGGAAATTCTCCATCTCAGATCCATCACCCAGCATAATGAGTGGGTACTAGATCAGGGTCAGATTAAATCAAGCATATTTTTAATTCATTATTTAATGAACAAATGGAATGTGCTGCTACAGGATATGTTGATGGCCCACAACACATGATTTTTGAAAGCAGATTGTATAAAATCAGAGTGGGGTATATGTATCCACAGCTATTTGTTAGCAAAATACAAATTTATTGACATTTGGTGCAGAATGTCATTTACTGGAGGAGTGGGTGAAAAAGACAGACTGCCTGGCCTGTTTTCTCCATTCTGTGCTTGTGTGCAGAATTGTTCCTGTCACAGAGAAAGGACTAGAATATTTGCAGGACTAGAATATTTGCTTTGCTCCAGCTGGGTTGCCATTGTGTTCTTTGTGTTTCTCACCCCTCTGAGATCTCTGATACCTTGTCAGAATGTGGAAAAGAGGGAAGTACTGGCTAGTTTTCCCTTGTCCTCTTCCATATGAAGCAGGTTCTGTTGTCTTAAGTGGAATTCTGTTTTTTTGTGTTGTCATAATTGGAATTTTGTTGTTTCTTAATTAGAGACATTTTTGGAAGACTTTGAGTTTGGCTTCCTCAGTATACTATTTCCAGACCTGTTTTCTTAATCACATACCTTTTGCCTGTACAATTCATTTAAATGGGAATGGAAGCAGGCAGCTTTAAAAGTTTATTGGGAGGGTATGAATCTCTGTCTTAATATCTAGACTCTAATGTTCCATTGTTTTGTATCTCCCCTCAAATAATTTTTGAAACTTTGTATTTGTCTTTTTGTGTAGAACAGTTTACCATGTTGTGTGGTGTGAGTTACTACAGTTTAAGTAGCATTTGAAGTGGTGAGGATTGTATTTTAAAAATAAATGCAAGGAGAATTTGTTCTTGAGCACTGTGTGGACAACCAAGAAATATGTGTCATATGAAAAACATTTTCCCCTCTTTCTCTTCTTTTCCTTTATAATTTCCTATACCTAGACAATACAGTTTTGAAGTGTTCAGTTTCGCATCTCATAAATGAGCACGATATTCAAGCAGTTAGGTATTCTTGTGAAAAATACGTTTTCATACCACTTCTTCCCTGAACCATGGCACTTTCAGTTTCCTGTTGTGAAAGGTCAGCAGCTGGAAGTTCCTGTACTAAGGTCTTGGGAAGGCATTCTCACTTGGCGAGCCCCAGCCTTCTACCTTCTAGTGGCAACAATAGGGGTTCCTCTGTGGTCAGCGAGAGTGAGAGAGCCCTTCCTTCTCTTGTCTGGCGGGTGGGTGGACAACAGCAGTGGAGGCCAGAGACTGCATTGGTGGAAGCAGGCCAGAGATGCTAGTGTCACTGTGGCCATAGCACTTCCCAGCTGCTGCCATCCAACACACAAGCAAGCCATGAGGTGGAGGAAAGGCTGTGTCTTTCTGTCCAACTTCAGAGGAAGCCGTACAGTACTTTGGTTTGAAATAGTACGCATTGGCTAGCATTTTAAACTGCAATTGGGTTTGCATCATATGAGATGACAAAGGTTGCTTGAAATTCCACCCAGTTTTTACCAGGTGTGTACTTTCAGCCAGTGGTTTTCTAACAAGACGTGTAAGGAAGCCCTGTGCTGGAGTTTATAGTATCTTAACCTTTCACCTCTCACCCACCTGTCAGTGCGGTACTCTGGCTAACAACAACAACAACAATAATAATAATAATAATAATGTACTGTTTGATGCCAGTTGTTGCAACATCACCTATCATGCTAGTGCCACACATGCTTGCATTATCCACGCTCTTGGCATGGTTTGATTCCCTTTTTCACCTTTTTGTCATTTTTCCTTTCCTAGTTTTCATTATGAATTTATATTGTTTCTCTTTTCCCTCATTTTCCACCCTGTTCATCTAACCCTCCGCTCCATTATCTTCATCTGGTAGAAGTATATAAAGATGTATACAGGTGGCGTGAGCTCATTGGCTGAACAGATAGCCAATCAGCTTCAAAGGAAAGACCAGCCTAAAACCCTTCTAGACAAAAAGGAACTGGTAAGAGAAGGTGTTGTGTGCTTGTGATTAGAAGTTAGATGGCTCTTTCTTAGATTTGTTGTGTTATGGATTCTAATGCTTTGTCAATGGTTTGTTAAAGGTAATTAGTATTTAATCATGTGCTGTCAAGATAATCACAACTTACAAAAGTCCTTCTGAGGGTTTTCTTTACATATAAAGTACCCAGAAGCCCTTCTTCTGGAGGTACTCTGGGACCATGTTGGTTGGCCAAGACTACACAAGCTGACTCTTCTCCTAGGAGGCATAGTGGAGAACCAGACCCTTGAAACTGGCTTTGCATCAAGCCAGCTGGCTAAAGGAAGCTGGATGTAATTGCATCCTTACCCATGCCTCCACCTGACTTTTTGTGGGTCCTCAGAGTTGTACTAAAAAGGCAATGGGTAGTCCGCCAAAGATTGGTTGGGAGAACCTTTGTCTTGTAAACCAAGTCTTCAGAGCTGATGAGTGTGTATGTTAACTTGTCAGCTGTTATTCAGGCATTTACTGGTGATTGTCTCCTAGATATGGAGAAAGGTTATTATCGTATTTTATAATTATGTCCAGGACTCTTAGTGAGCCAAGTTTGTACCTCACAACCGTATCAGGTAAGTAGTCATCATTCCCATTTTAGAGATGGGAGGTGGAGAAAAAGACAATGTTGTAGGAATAATTTAAAGTATTCACAAACCCATTTGTTCATTATATGCCATGAAGGTTTATTTTCAGGTGATTGGAAATTACAACGTATGGAATAAGCTCTCTATTTTGTTCATGTCAGAGCACTTGAGTTATCTATTGACTCCGCCTTGGTGTTTCTGTTTTGAAGAATACTCTGTTCTATTGAAGATTTCAAAATGATCTAGTCAAAATAGATGGCAGAATACTCCAAGTCAAAGCAGGCTGATAACTTTAGGTCTTTCCTTGCCCCTTCTGCTTTAGGGTTCATTAAAAAAGGAATTCCCCCCAAACTTGGGAGGCAGTGATGTCTGTTTCTTCTGCCACAAGCGTGTCTATGTGATGGAACGACTGAGCGCCGAAGGCAAGTTCTTCCACCGCAGCTGCTTCAAATGTGAATACTGTGCCACCACTCTGCGTTTATCATCATATGCCTATGACCTGGTGGACGGTAAGTGAATCAACCATTTCAGCCATTAGAACTAAACCATTGTGAAAATAATGGTGCAGGATGTCCATAGGTTTACAATACAGTCAGTTGACTGTTTCATGCAACTCAACGATGTCTAAGACAGCTATTGGCCAAGAAGTATGGATACTGGTGACCAATGGATCTGAAGGTGGCTGAATGTGTAGCTGAACTTATTTCAATTTTATTTTAGTAAATTGTAATATGATTTTCTTTATAAATGCCAACTCAAAGCAACTTATGTCATAAAAAACATAAAATACTGTAATATATAAACACATCCAATGTATCATGCAGAAATATTCAATATTCCCATAACATAGCAAAAATCAGTTGTACATGAAGCAGCTTGAAAACAGTAGATACAGAAGCTATTCAGTCCTATCATTTTTTCCAGGTGGGTGACTTATAGGTTAGAGATTGAAATGTATTATGGTACTATTCATTATTTCTTCAGTGGATTTTGTTTGGTAAGAAAGAGGTGGAAGATGTAGTAGGAAAATGAAGGAGAGTTGTAAATAGAAGATAAGAACATCTGGACCCCTCTTAAAATTCTGTGAATGGGGCAATGGAACTGAATTAAAAGCCTTGTGCAGAAGCACCCTTAATTTCTGAAACAGACAGGTTTGGGATAGCTGCTCAAAAGGAAAGTGTCAGGCCCTAAAACCAAAGAAGAACCCCATCCAAGATGCATCAAATATACAGTATGTTGGAACAATTAAGGTTCATGGTGATACTGGGTAGTGGGCTTCCTTTCCTGCCAGTCCAGATGCCTGCCAAAAACAGAGGTGGGAAGTGTCAGTGCAGGAGCTCTTCAGTAAAGTGTTGTTGGGCATCACCTTGGTTGCCATGGTTTACTTATCAGAAGCACTGTAACTCTGCTTTTCAGCTGGAAAAGGCTGCAGAGAGCTTATAAAGTATTGGTCTAGTTGGAGTTAACTCCCAGTCCTTCCTTCTTTGCTTTCACTCTTGCCTCTTCCAACAGCACTTTTGCCAGATTTTCATGTGATACAGCCTTTGTTCCTCATACAGTACCGCTTTGTTAATGTGTGATACCACGCAAGTTTCCCTAGGGCACACTGATAACTGATTGGCCATGGATTAAGTGCCTGTCAAGGCACCCTATGGAAAATCCAGTATTTTTAGAGAAGGAATAAATTATCTTGAATTAAAACTTCAGGGCAGTGTTGTCCCAATGTACATTGGATATATATCAGGGTGGAGAAGGTGTAGAGAAACTGCAATATTGCACAGTGTAACCAAAAAGTAGATTATCTCTGTCTCAGTTTTGCTCTTCTTTCTGTTCTCTTAACAGGAAAATTCTACTGCAAACCTCACTACTGTTACAGACTTTCGGGTTATGCACAGAGGAAAAGACCAGCAGTCGGTCCTTTATCAGGAAAGGTATGTTGTGTTTACCCATGTATTTATTTATTTAAAATGCATCCCGCTCCCATAGGTGTCATGGCACTACTCTGGACGGGTTACAACTCGAAAAATAGAAAGTAAAAATAGAAATATTAAAACCAATAGCAATAACCCTAAAAAGTGGCCATTTTGCCATTTAGTAGAAAATAGCTTCAGGTTCTTTTGCTGAGAAGGGTTGTTCTTGTAGGAGAGGCAAAATGTCCCTTGATCCCATGTCCATGGAACACATCTGACATATTAGCTGGAGGTATCCAGGGCATAGTGGGACACTTTACAAACTGTTTTGAAAGTTGTTTTAAACCTTACAAAACTTCCAAAGAGCAGTCCAAAGCATATCATAATTTTTGCATGTTCAAAATCTGATCTATTATTTTTAAAAATATTAGAAATAAGACCTTTTGCACCGTTTGCACCTGCCCTCTGTATGCTTTGAGACTTGATCTGTTTAAAGAATCATTTGAAATTGAAAACATGTGGGAGTAATTATTGAAATATGAACAGAAGTTTAAAAAGTAGGTTCTGTCATTTCAAAATACATAGAACAGTGGATTAGCTGGAAAAGGACTGCAAAAGCAGCAGACTTTATTTGACTTTTACAGTTAACTTTATGTTACTCTATTTCCATGCATAAAGCTCTGCATATTTTCAGGTGACAAAATTGTATGTAGTACAAATCCATGTTAACAGAATACTTCTGAACTCTTGTTGCTTGATTTTATGCTGTTACGTTCAATAGTATTTGCCTCTAGTATTTATTTAGTATTTATTTATTTATGCCTTGCCTTTTTTCATTGACCTAAGGTGTAATAAATGCATTAAGGCTGTACTTGAAGGGAGTGGCGACTGGTGAAGTTGTGTAGGGATTACTGTGTCTGTTCCCCAGGCCTAAAGTTAGGATGGGCAGTCTTTGGCTGACTTCCAGAATCTGCCAGGAAGTATGCAGTTGTGTGATCTGTCTTTCTCACAGTGGTCTACTGGCAGGAAGAGAAGGAGTAAGGAAATGGAAAAGTGAAGCGGGGAGGAAATGACCGACCCATTTTTGGTTTTGCCTGCTGCTAGATCCAGTCCCATCACTAGCACTTGGCAACTGACACATCATCCCAAAGGGATTGTGGCTGTCAACAGGCAGGATGGGTTTCCTGCCACAGGCATAGCCCATACATGGCTCTTTTTTGTTTTGTTTTGTTGAAGAAATACATAGTTGTTGGTGGTGATGTTCTTCTTTGTGGCCTCTGTTAATCACAGAGATCCACTCGAAGAACTGCAATTACAGGTGGGTAACCTGTCAATACTGGACTGAGAATGGTCTATTCAATTGCATATGCTTGTTTTGAGTTATAAAAAATTAAAATTACACATTTCCTTATCCTGTTTCCCCCTCACCTCAGGATAATAAAGGGACCCAGCAGGAAACCATGGCGGCTGATGGTGCAGGACGTGCAAACTCCATCTCATCATCATCAGAGCGGACTCCAGGTAGCTCTGCTTCCTTGTTTGGCAGGGTGACACAGTATTCCCTCCGCATCTTTGACAGAGTTAGGGTGGCAAGCCAGCTCCTGCAAGGCACAGTCTCTTCTGTTGGGCAGCACATAGCCCAAAATCCTTTGGACTCCTTTTTTATGTGCCAGTTGATGGCTTTTGGGGTCCCCTTCCTCTATGTCCAGTCGGAGGTTCTTGTGCAGATACTGGGAGAGTTTTTATCAGCACTGGGATACTGATGCAGCAATTATAACATGGACAAAAGAGATATGGGGCTGGTAAGCTGGGAGAGAAAAACAATCCTTGGTTTGTTGTTAGGGCACTGGAGATCTTCAAAATGATTTTGACAACTACCATTCTGAATGTTGTTTTCGTACAGGGAAGCACAGACACTCAGTTCAGTGTTTCCCCCGGTATGAATCCAGCTAATTAATAATGTCGTCTTCAGACAAATACATTAATGCCACATTATTATTGTTTGAAATAATCAGTTAAACTGAATTTCTGTGTTCACCTGAACTCTTGACTTGTTGTATCAACCGTTTCTCTCTCATGTGGTATCTGAACAGCAAAGCATGAAAATGTCATTGATGCCTTCAAACGTTGTTGCTATGGATTCCTTCGTGTCTTGTATGCAGCTAAGGAAATCCATAGCTTTTAACTCTGGGTGTTTTTGGTTTTGGCAAGTTGTGGTATTCTTTGCCAAAATACAGCCTTTTTTCTGTCAGTAATTGTGGAAGATCGCTGTCAAGCAAGCTGTTAGCTGTCGAGGGCATTCTGCCTGATCTTAAACTTGATATATATGAGAGAGATCTTTATGTGCCACAAATTTATTCTTCTTCTTTTTTGGACTCGGCTTTTCTCTTTGCCTCTTGACAATCCACCTTCAATGGAACTTGAAAGGGCATAGTCCTAGTCCTGGAATACGGCAGAACAAACTGGTTTATTTAAATGTTTTGGATAAAATATAGGCGTTCATACTTTTGTGAAGGAATCTGAATTGTTGTTTTTCCATTAGTTATTTAAACAGTTTAGAAAAATACTTTCCTCCAGGTTTTCCCCCTTGCTGAGTACTGCATTTGTATGACATCTTCCAGCCAGGAGCAAAATGAGAGATTTCATTTCTCTGAGGAAATGTTTTAAAAGGCCCAAGGTTTTTTAATTGAAAAATGTTGCTTCTTGCAACTATCAAATAGGAGATATTTTGCTTTAATGATGAAGTGTCTTCTATATGGTTATAGATGCCAACTACAGGCAGATACAAAGGCTTCCCCTTATTAAGCCTGGCATGTCAGTTATTGTAATGGTAGCGAAGGTTACATTTAACACTTAACTGAATCACTTCAACAAAGATTGGAAATGGTTGTTTACAAAATACAAAGGCTTCCCCTTATTAAGCCTGGCCTGTCAGTTATTCTAATGGTAGTGAAGGTTACATTTAACACTAACTGAATCACTTCAACAACGATTGGAAATGGTTTATATTAGGATGTTAGGCCTCTGCTTCTGTAATGGGACTGTGACAACGTGTACATCTTGCTTGCAAGTAGATGCAAAATGGTGTGATTTAAAATAGCAGAGTTCAAATTCACATTTTTCATACACTTTTTTCCTTGTTACCATCTATTTAATTTAAATAAATCCTGGCCTGTATTTCCTGTTAGCCATCTGCCTTTTAGTTCCTGTTCTCTGCTGGTCAGGGCAAGAAGTACACATCTTAGTATTTTATGTCTCTCTGTTGAGTACTTGAATTTACACAGGGTCAGTAATAAATGCAATGGTAGAGAAAAGAGATGCATTCTTTACAAAATGAAGCTTTTTGGCATTCTTTTAAATATTCATAATTTAAGATGTAGGCTCAGATATATTTTTGCCAGTATGTATGTGTGCATTTATTTGAGTTTGTAGCCATGATCCCTTTACAAAAATAAGTCATAGCAATAACTGTAGCATGCATTAGTTATGGAATCTATATGAATTATAATGATAATTAAAAACATTACTGGAAAACATTTCAAAAAAAGCAGAAGCCAACATTTATATTTTACATATTTAGAGCTGAGAAAATATTTGAGTTCCTACATTCTAGTTCAGAGTGTTGGGATCCTAAGCAGACTTCCTGGGATTTTTCAAACCCAGTATAAAGATTTTCAGACTAAAACCAGCCTTTTTTTTAAAGGGTTGCAGATTCTTATGCAGACTTTGAATTACCTTGATGACAGAGACAGAATTTTCCATGTTGATACTGGTGTTTCATGATTTGCAGAGCAATAGTGAATAAAAAGAGAAAGAAAAAAATTATTTTTAATAAAATGTGATTGTACTGACAGAAATACTGAAGTGCAGTTTTCTGCATTTGAAGGCAACAGAAGTGCAGTCTTGGAACAAAGAAAAATCTGCACTTCCCACTGCCCATTCCAAGTTGACTCCTGGTTGATTTGGGATGGGTGAGCGCATGTTACGTATTGCACTGCTTGTTTCGTGTGTTTCAAGCAAATACGCAACTGGTGTTTGCTTGCCCACTGTGGCATTTTATGCCTTTCTCTCCCCTGCTTGTTTGCACATTTAGACAGGAAAGTTCCTATATTCAGCCATTACGTTAATAGTCAGGGAATAGTAAGCACTTTTGTGGGTGATAGTACAGTATAATAGCCTTTCTGGCATGTGTGACTCTTACTTACATCAAAGGTGTTCTGTGATTGCCCAGAGAACTATATATTCTGTTTAAAAAATGCACCAATCTCAGTATTTAGCCATTAGAGTAGGCCTTGCTGCCTCTTAAATAGATACCTTTGATTTGCCAAAAGGGAGTTTGCTACATATGGGTACTTTAAGTGAGTAGCTCTTGATGTTGCTGCTGTCACAAGGAGCTACTTACAAACTGTAAAAGGTACAACCCTTTCTGCTGGTCAAAGGGTGATGAAAGCTGTGACTGATGCTTTTTATCTTTAAAATCTGCCATGCTTGTTGCAGATAGTGTATTAAGCCTTTCCTTGTACTGTCTCTCTGGGAATGTTGTGTGGAGCAATCTCTGGATTTGCCTGTGGAACACAGTTGCTGTTGTTGCCAATATATATATGTATGTGGTGGGGGGATAAACCTCATGCTTTTCAATGGTTCTGTCCTGTAATAGTTGTAGTGTTCTTGTATTTTTGGAATGTTTTACAGTGAGTGTTTTTTTTGAATACATGTTTTTAAATACACAGCTGCTGCTTGTTCTAAATATCTGTAAAATGTTTTTGAATATGTTACTCTTGCCGTGAGTCTAATGGGGCTTGGAACAGTCTCTTGCCCTTAAAAGATTTATAGTTGGGCTTCCGTTACTAATTGCCAATTGAAATCATGGCCATTCTTCATCAGCTAGAGCCCTGAAATGCCACACCCATAGTTCAAGAAATCACAGTCACAAAAACAAGCTCCCCTGGAAACAGTATTGTACCGATATGCCTTTTTGAGGAAGAGCAGTTAATTAGCATTTTCTTTTAATGGTCTAACTCTTCCTGAACAATACTGTACTGTATATCCTCAAAGAACTTAAGTTACGTCTTTGGTTATGAGACAGCTGAGACACGACACAGACATAGATGGTGAATAAAGACCCCTGGGTTGCTGGAAAGATTAAATGTTCCTTCTCAGACTAATAGACCATTGGACTCATAAACTGTATTCAGGTGGGGTTGTTTTGTGTGTGTGTGTGTGTGCGCGTGTGTGTTTGGTTTGGTTTGGTTTTGGTTTTGTCAACAAGGGTAACCCCACTCCCTCTCTTGTTAATTTCTCCATACAAGTGACAATAAATGTGGAGTGATGAGGTTCCTGAACATGTGTAGGCTCTACATATGAGCAAGGATCTAGATTTTCCAGAGCTCTTGTTTGCAAGTGCAGCCTAGACATAACCAGAGACCTCTCCTGTTTGCATTGTCACTCATGGAGAAAGTAATGATGGAAGGGATGGAGCCAATTGCCCTCCTGTAACTGTTATCAAACTCTGTGTGGGGGGGAGGGAATCATGCTGGACGCAATAAAGCTTGAATAGGGCCATAGCTAAGCTCATAATGGAGACTAGTTGTCCAGGACAGTATACAGAATGCATGTGAGACAGAATGTTGTTTTATGGGATTTCTGTTGTCTCTTCCTGTACTTAAATGAGCGGAACATTGTTGGGTAGGAATACACACCCAGTTTAGTAGAATGCAGGCTGAATTTGCTTTGACTCTGTTCGTTTATTTTTAAAATATGGGAAGAGAATGTGTGAGTGCTTTTCTTGAAAAGTGATTAGAGGAGCATGATGAGATTTTTCTGTTCACTTTTTTTTATTCTCTGGCAATTTCTGATCTTCAATGTAAGGAGGCAGATCAGTGATTTTATCTTTCTCCCTTTGAGCAACAGAGCACTTCCTATTTGTGTAAAAAATGAATTTTCACTCAAATCAACTAAATAGTAACAAAAATAATATATTGGCAAAATTAAAGAGGGGAAAGGATAGGAAGAAAAAAGCAATATATTATGGTGCTTCAGAGTGACAGATTTATTTCAGTGTGAGCTTTCGTGGAATAAAATTCATTTCTTCAGATACAGTAAGTTTTTATCCATAAAAGCATATACTGAAAGAAATCTTGAAGTTTTTAAAGTGCCATAAAATTTATTTTTCTTTTTTTCTCCACTGTAATTTTGCCAGCATGCTGAAACAGACTAATGCTTCTCTGGAAAATACCTAGTTAGTGAAATATAGTTGTATATAGATAGGTCCAGTGTCCAAGGTACAATATGACTTCTTTTAATATAAATTTTAAAGAGTGGTATAACTTCCTTTGTCTGTACAGGTCCTACTATGAGAGTAGTTTTATTTTTCTTTGGGCAAATGGATTTGTGTGTATATGTGGTGTTAAATCCACAGACTATAAAATAGGATAAACTAGGTCTCTGCTTCAATTAGCTCCTTAAGTGATGGTTCCATAGCTGTCATTGTGATACAAAAGTGTAGTTGCAAGGCTTGAATG